AAGAGTGCCAGGTGTGGCAACCACAACCGCTAATTGATGAGCCTGACAGAGAGGAAATCGAGTTTGCCATCGTGGACTTGAAGAACTTTAAAGCCCCCGGTAAGTACAGGATATTTGGAGAATTGATTAAATTCTGCAATGGTAAAATGAAGGCCCCAATAAATGAGTTGATCTGTGACGTGTGGGTAGAGGAAAAGATGCCAGATGACTGGAGCATTGGAATTGGATTAATATGTTTTATTCTTTAAAAAGGCAGCAAGGATAAGTGCAAAAATTAGAGAGCAATAACCTTATTGGGAGTCCTATATAAACTTCTTTCTAATTTAATATTAAAAAGGCTGCGAAAATATGCTCAGGAAATTTCAGATGATTACCAATGTGGTTTTGAGCTGGCAGAGGTACTACAGATCACATTATTTTTATAAGACAAATGATGGAAAATTCTCTGAATATGATATTGATCTGAACTTATTATTCGTTGACTACAAGCAGGAATTCGTAAGCATCAAGAGATAAGCACTGTTAAAAATTCTAATGAAGAATTGAGATGAAAAGTTTTTATTGGAAATAAAGTTGATCGATTGTTCAAGATAAATCTGGAGTGCATCAAGGAGAAGCCTTATCGGCAACTATATTCAACATAGCTCTGCATCCTGCTGTGAAAGATGCATCTAAAAAAAGCACTATCGTTGATAAGACCTGGCACTAAAAACAGCCACCACAAAAAGATTAGCTTCATTAAGATATCAAAGCAATACTAATAGGGACTCAGACAGACTTAAGCTTCTAAACCTGTATCGCGCTTTAATATGCTCCAAATTAGATTATTAGTGCTTTGTATACGGTTCTACCCGCTATCGGATACTGAATAAACTTGATCCAGTCCATCATACATGCGTTAGAATCGTGACTGGGGCTTTTCGGACAAGCCTCATTCTCAGTCTCTGTTCTGAGGCTGGTATACCCCCACTTTTGTTTTTTAAATGAATCATAAATCAAAAATTTCAAACGCTTTTAGAAACAAACTAAATTCTATACTTACACTGTTTGAATAAATCTATTCCGCAGCTCAATTTCCTAGAACATACCTATACACAAAACAGAAATTCAAAACCCACCTTGGATCCACAAACCTCAAACAATGCTCCATCTATCCCCATTACGCAAAAACAATACGTCATCCAGTGAATATAAATCCGAATTCTCCCATCTCCTGCAAAGTATCCCAGAACCATTCTTAATTTATACTGAAGGTTCGAATTCCGTTGCTACAGCTTCTTCCTTTGTTACTCACAATTCAACACATAAGATAAAGCTTCATAATAATGCAACGTACATACCACGGAACTTCATGCGATATCCTCAACCCTTTACTTCTGCATGTCAATTACTCCAAACACAATACTTTTAATATCCGACTCTTTAAGTTCATTACAAGGCTTAAACGACATTTACTTGCAACATTCTGTTATTCTTAAAATTCAAAAAGACCTCCATATTCTTGAAAATTTAGGAAAATCTGTATACTTTATTTGGATTCCTATTCACATGGGAATAGTCGGAAATGAGCTTGCAGATGTGACAGCAAAACAAGCCCACCCTCTTCCAGGTCTGGGTATTGTTATCCTGTCTCCTCTAGAAATGATTCATCCTCTCAAAAAGGAAATATTTGAAAGTTGGAAGTTATAAAAAAATCAGTAAAGCCCTGGACCATATTTCGCCGTTCTAATAGTAGCAGAAGGAATCGCCTTGACTAGGTTGAGAATAGGTCATACAAATTTGACTCAATTATACCGTATCAACAAACAACCACTTCCTACATTTCAATACTGCAATAGTCCTCTCACTATCAGCCATATTTTTCAGGAATGCCCCTATTACACCACATACATGCGTTAGAATCGTGACTGGGGCTTTTCGGATAAGCCTCATTGTTGAGTTAAGTTGAGAATAGGTCATACAAATTTGACTCAATTATACCGTATCAACAAACAACCACTTCCTACATTTCAATACTGCAATAGTCCTCTCACTTTCAGCCATATTTTTCAGGAATGCCCCTATTACACCATCATACATGCGTTAGAATCGTGACTGAGGCTTTTCGGATAAGCCTCATTCTCAGTCTCTGTTCTGAGGAAGTTATAAAAAAATCAGTAAAGCCCTGGACCATATTTCGCCGTTCTAATAGTAGCAGAAGGAATCGCCTTGACTAGGTTGAGAATAGGTCATACAAATTTGACTCAATTATACCGTTATTATGCCTCTATTACACCACAAGCTTAAATAGATTATCTCTTAGACCGGATATTTCAGCTATATTAAATAATGACGAATCAAATCACAGTTATAAACTTCCTTAAAAATCATTGATTATTAACCAGAATATAGAAATATATATAATTTATTTTTCTCTGTTCTATGATGTTTCTGAGCTCCAGAGAACAAAAATGAAGAAAAAGCAGTTGATGACCATAGGATTTTACGCCTCAAAGCCCAAATAAACAAACAAAGATCAAGCAAGGATAATGAAGAACTACTCTAATGCTGACCTCATTTTTGTGACTAAAGACTTAATCGATTAAGAAAACTAATGATTATAATTTGTCAGTATGTCTTCGATATTATGAAAATGCATTCGATTCTCTGAAAACCGATTGCATTATTAATATCTCGTAAATATACTACATTGTCTCTCTAAAGTATTTTTATTTTACCAGTTTAATAAAAACTGGTAATTTTAAAACAGTTTAATAAATATGTTAACCTCTAGCTATAGTCGGTCCCTACAGATAAATAAATACCCACTAATTACTGCAATAGAGATCTGGGAAAAAATATATGATTAAAAATAAGCTGTTTTATAATCACTTCAAATGATAACTATCTGAAAACTCCTCAGTTTTAAGATATTTTTTTCAATAAATAAAGAGTGTATATATGTAATTATGTTTATTATAATACATATCAGATAATTAAGAAATTAAAAGAAGGTATTAGAGCTTTGTAATAATTTATTGTACTCATTCCTGCTGAAAATACGGGTACTTTTAGGTGACAGGTCAATCTCAAGTTTTTTCTAAATAAATCTCAACTTAATTAATATGGACATAAATCTTATCAAACGAGAAGATTTTTCTGAAGTTGGGGTATCTTTAGTTTAGTTGGAGGATGATATCGACAATATTGCGAATATTTTTTTTTTTTGTAAACAATACTTAGCTTATAATTGGTAATTGGTTGACTGTCGTGGATAATGAAGAGAAGAATAGTTGGGGTGCTCAGTCAAAAAGGAAGGCAAAAAATTAATTATAATATTTATTTTTTACATATGCCGACGTTTCGACCTGAAGTTCAGGCCTTCATCAGGGCTAAGAAAATAATCAGATAACAAGGTATGAGAAACATAAGTAATGATGGTAAAAAAGATAATAAAAAATGAGAAAATAAAAAAAAAATAAAAATTATTAGAAAAATAAAATAGATAGATATAAAGTAAAATGAAATTGTTAGAATAATGACTAAGAACTAAGAGATAAATAATAAAAACTGTTACATAGTGTGGAATGATGAAGTAGGCATAATCAAAAAGGGGTGACAAAAGTGTTACATTGGGAAACATTGGTGTTACATTTCTTCCCTCCTTCCTTTCATTCCTTTTCTCTGTTTTTAACTCTTTATTATATTATACATTGTCTGTACATCTTGATAGACTTTACAATATCTCAATGTTCTATCTAACTACTCCATTCTCAATGTTTTAATTTTACTATTTATTTTATTTTCATTTCTTATATAACTTTTCGCCCCTACTTTGCAGGTCTTCTTATGTTTTAATTTTACTATTCATTTTATTTTCATTTCTTATATAACTTTATATTTCTTTTTTATGTTTTTACATTTTATTCTAAGATTCCCAATGTAACACTTTTTGATTATGCCTACTTCATCATTCCACACTATGTAACAGTTTTTATTATTTATCTCTTAGTTCTTAGTCATTATTCTAACAATTTCATTTTACTTTATATCTATCTATTTTATTTTTCTAATAATTTTTATTTTTTTTTTATTTTCTCATTTTTTATTATCTTTTTTACCATCATTACTTATGTTTCTCATACCTTGTTATCTGGTTATTTTCTTAGCCCTGACGAAGGCCTGAACTTCAGGTCGAAACGTCGGCATATGTAAAAAATAAATATTATAATTTATTTTTTGCCTTCCTTTTTGACTGAGCACCCCAACTATTCTTCTCTTCAATACTTAGCTTAGTTTAGACGCTCAAAAGTCTTCTTTAAATGTTTATAACAATCGTGTGTTATATACATGACAAACTCTATTTTCGTTTGAAGTAAACTTTGTCTTGTTTACAGTGGAGCCATTATCAAATATTTCTTTAGTTATCGCTTTCTATTCAACGAAAAACATTACTTACTTAAAAAACAAAACACAAAACATAAATTTTCTACTTTTCTTCCGAAATTCGGACCAATGTTTATTTGCACTTTTATATAGCTTTTGAGGTCTGCTTTACTCCTATGAATATTTGCCCCGGTTGCAAGGGTGTTATAACAGAAAGAAAATAATAATAAATAACTTTTGAAACGATGATAACAATAACACTGATAATACAAAGAACACACGACAAGAAGAATAGAAACTTTAAACGTGAAGAAAGGCAAAAACAATAGAAATGGTTTGATAAATGACTCATATTATGTAAAATGAAAGAAAAAAAACTTATCTCTTGTTTAAAAAAAAATATGAAGAAACGAAATCATTATAAAAGCGAAAATATAAATAAAATTTGTTTTTTCCCTTATGAAGTTTAACATAAGGGAAACAAAAACAAACATGCTATATGTTGCAATATTGAAAATTTTATAACAGAAAGAAACAAATCAATAACTTTTGAAACGATAATAAAACACTGAACATTTAATAACTGGTTAGTTGAATGTTTTTCAGGTTGTTATTGTTGGTGATATCCTGTCTAAATGTGGAGAATGAAGGCAGCCGAAGAAGGGACCGCACGGGAGGTCCGGATGGAAGGAGGCGAACAAGTTCTCGGCCTAACCCCGGTCGAGAAGAAGTTCCTCCTCCTAGCCGAACGGGGAGACTGTGCAACAGTCAGGAAGTACGTAAGTTCTATATATAGAAGTGCGGTTTTTGGAATATACATACTAAATTATATTAAGCGAACATGGTTCTTAATAAAACATATCTGACTTCTGTATTGTTATACCAATAGAGTTGGGAGAGTTAATATTATAATTATTCAAATATTATTACATTATAAATAAAGGAAGGAGGTGGTCTCATAAATAGACTAAAATAGTGGAAAAACTATTTTATTTCAAGCCATCGTCTGTGGCTCTAGTGCCCTCTTTCAGTCTCCACTGGCTTCTAATACTACTGATGCGGCTGGAAAAGTGGCACTGGGATCTCCTGGAGTCTTGCTTTGCCTTCCACATGTGGGGAAAAAAGCCTGGCTCGGAGGTTCCTGGGTGAATGTATATAGGTATGATTGTGTTTAGAAGTTTTTACTTTTTTTTTTATTTACTTTCTTCATCAGTATTATTTATTTACTTTTTATATTTATATTTATTTCTCATTTATTTCTCTATTATTTGTATATATTGTATGAATGAGAACTGTTAGCTCTAATACTTATAGCCCTCCAGCAGTGGCTGATTGTATTATTATTCAATAAATAGATTATTAAAAAAAAAAAAAAAATTCAAGCCAACGTTTCGCCCCTACTTTGCAGGTCTTCTTCAGTTTTAAGTGAAACTCCTTTCTGAACGCACCTCCCTCAAGAAGACTTGCAAAGACTGGTCGAAATGTTGGCTTGAAATAAAATAGTTTTCATAATGATGTAGAGATGGTTGACCGTGATATAATATGAGAAGGAGTTGATCAGGGGGTGCGGTCAAATAAATACTAAATAATAATAATAATAATTCTTATTTTAGCTTTACTATATGATTACTTCTTCAATTTTCAATCTCTTTATTCGTTAACATTAATTTTCTTTATCTGTTAACCTACAGTTATCAAATGTAATCATTATTAGTTTGTTATACACTCATTTCTTATCTTTTATCACAATCTGTTTACTTTTAACTTACATGCTATATTCTCTTTTGTTTTCTATTTGTATTCGTACTTATTTTCCATTTTTGTTTGTATCTACTATATATAGAATACTTCTTCTTATTTTATATCTACTTATATTCATTTATTTTATTTCCACCATGCTTTGTATCTTTTGTAGCTCTGATGAAGACCTGCAAAGTGGGTGAAAACGTCGGCCAAAATTCAACAATACTATCGGTATAATTTAGTATTTATTTGACCGCACCCTCCGATCAACTCCTTCTCATAAAATAGTTTTCCACTATTTTAATATCTGTATGATCGCCCCCCCCCTAAATAAACTAAAGCTAAAGAAATAAAATCAATAAATGATAATAAATAAATTTTCAAAGGATAATTAATTATTAACTTGTCATAATTTAAATTAATATCATTTTTTCATTGTCAAGGAACTTCATAACTAATTAAAAGTTACATGAGCTATAACTAGTTATAAAATGAGCTAAATGCAATGTTTACCTGTTATTTAACTATTAAGGTTTAATATTATTGATTAATTTAGATAACACAATTTATCTTTTTCATGTGTCATTAATTAAAGATCTATATATATATATACAAGGTGTCCCGTAAGTAGAGGAAAATTTTTATAGGCATAATAGCAGACTCAAGGCCTACAAATAAAGTACATATAAACAACGGGACGATTCTCAGCAGAAAAGTAGGAAATCCAAGTTTAGTTTTTTTAAGTAAGTCATGCTTTTTGATGAATAGGAAGCGATAACTAAAGAAATATTTAATTTAAGTAATTGACAATTGTTTCCATGTAAACTAGATAAAATTATCTTTAAAAAAAAGAGCTTGTTTCTGTTAAAACCATTTAAAGAGGACTTTTGAGAGGCTAAACTTTGTTAAGTTCAGTTTTTTAAAAAGATCATAAATTATAGGCGGTTTCTTTTTTATTATTTAACTGTACTAAAGATACTCCACTTTGAAAAAAAACTTCTTCATTTAATAAGCTACAAGTCCATATTAATTAAACTGATGTTTATTAGGCAAATTATTGAGATTCACCTCAAGTTGTGTAAAGAAATGTTGTGGTTTTTCATGTAACCTAAAACTACATTTTTATGAAAATAATTAAAGCAATCAACAGGTTTTTTTTTTCTTGTGAAACGTAAACTCTAGAACTAGAAACATTAAATTTGTCACATATAAATATGGATCAATTCCTATCATAGATATCTGGACGAAAACACAGCTTCGTAAATACTTTACATGAAAAAATCATTATTATTTTTATTTATATATGAAGAGTGTATTTGGACAATTAAGATTATTGAAATTAACTCCATATCATGAAAAAACAATAAATAAAAGCTTTTCAACAATTAATTGTAGTCATTTTTGATGAAAACACGAGCACTATTAGGTGACTGGATAGAAATTGACATAATTTCTTTACACAACGTGAGGTGAATCTCAAGAATTTGCTTAATAAAACTCAATTCAATTAATATGATCATGAAGCTTATTAAACAAAGAAATTTTTATAAAAACATGGGTTCTTTTAGGTGACTGGATAGAAAATCAAAAATTACTTTACATAACTTGATGTAAATTACAAAATATTTCCTAATAACCCTCAACTTAATTAATATGGACTTAAAAGTTATTAAACTAGAAAGTTTTTCTAAAAGTGGGCTATATGTAGTACAGTTGAAGGGTAGTAAAAAAAATCACAAATATATTATGACTTTTTTTTAAACGGAACTTAGATATGTTTGTCCGTTCAATAGTCCTCTTTGAATAGTTTGAAAAATGACCAACTCTTCTTTCGTTTAAAGTAAATTTTATAATAATTTTGAATTACTTTGAATTTGAATTTTGAATTACTTAAATGAAATATTTTTTAAGTTATCGCTTCCTATTCAACAAAAAAAAATGATTCGCTTAAAAAAAAAATCTGAAATTTCCTGCATGGTGGGAATCGGCCAATTATTTATATAAACGTGTTTGTAGATCTTGATGTCTACTGTCACCCTTTTAAATGTTTCCTCTACTTACATCTCTCTCTCTCTCTCTCTCTCTCTCTCTCTATATATATATATATATATATATATATATATATATATATATATATATATATATACTCTCTCTCTCTCTCTCTCTCTCTCTCTATATATATATATATATATATATATATATATATATATATATATATATATACTCTCTCTCTCTCTCTCTCTATATATATATATATATATATATATATATATATATATATATATATATATATATATATATCATTTATTTTCAGCTTATTGGACGAATACAAGGGTCAGCCTGAAGTGCTCGACATCAATTGTGTGGATCCACTGAACAGATCTGCTCTTATAGCCGCTATAGAAAATGAGAACATGGATCTCATAAGGATATTGCTTGAGTACAACATTCAAGTCAAGGTAAATAGGTCTAATAATATAAATTGTGTGAAGATTATTGTTTACTTTACATTTATATTGTATTTATTATAATATGGCTGTAATTCAGTAACTTTTTAAGTATTGTATCTAATGTTTGATAATCCCCAATGCCAAGTGGACCCACAGAACAGATCAATTGCAAAATCTTGCTTTTTGTGTGCGGGTTTAAGAGGATTAGAAGCTTTTAAAAGTATTCCTATTCAATTATAGTTTTGATTAGTGATTATTAGCGCAATAATTATCTCTGACCTGTTCCGGCGATATTTCAAATTGTTTTTTACTTATGAAACAAAAGGTAAGCTATGAATTTAAAGTTTCTCGAGACAGATGATCAAAAGATAAGGTTGGAGATTAACCCCATTACATCTCTATATTCGACACCACCTCAACTAGGGTATATTATTCTATTAATCAGTTGTACAGTTGCGCTGCGATGATTCTGTGCTCCAAGCGTAATAACAAGGTCGGCAGAGACGAATAGGCTACCTTAGTTGGCTCTATTTGCAAACTAATAAACAACAAAAATGCTATAATATCTCTGAGGCCGACGTACCGCAGCAAATAAACAGAATATGTTCTGCCACTCATATACAAAGCCCCTCAAAAAACAAGCCGCTGAGAAGTCAGAGGAGTATAATACATCTATATTGGCCGAGATGAAAAATATTGCTGGGAAAATCAAAAAAGTAAAGATATTGCTCGAGTAGCTAAGGAATCTAGCGTTCGAAAATAGAGAGAGACTGCGAAAATAGAGGAGTTATCACTGAAGCAAGAAAAAATTATAGAAAACTTATTAGTGAGATTAAAACATTAAAATCTCAAATTAATATCTAAAGCTTAATAAACTAAAGCTTAACACCAGATCTCAACCTATAGATCTATATATCCCTTTCCATAAAACCATTTCCTTAAGCAAATCCTTTGTCATTAGTGCTACCTCCTTTTGGAACTCCTTATTTATCTCCATATGTCAAACCACGTCATTTTTTATATGTCACGAGTATTTTTTGTATATATTTATATTATATCTATATCCCGGACTGATGTATGAGTCCGTATTTTACTCCCAAAATATAATGAATATTCATTTAGTTAGTTTTTAAACTAACGTTTTTTTTTTTATTATTTTATTTTTCGTTTTATTTTGTTTAAATGGCTCTCATAAAGAATTATGGTGCCCATATATAACAAGAGAGCATAAAAACATTACTAGTTGAATGTAATTAATTATGTTTTAAGATAATTCAAAAATCAATACTAAAATCATCTTGAAACTTTTTATTAGAACTTCCACACAATTTTCGAACTATGATATTTCTCAATAATTTATTATTTTTTAACTTGAATTAAATTGGAAGGAGAAAATCATGGTCGTAAATAGAATAAGTATTAAGTGAAATCGAAACTAACTCATCAAAGAAATATAAGGAACACTTTTTTTTTTTTTTTGGAATATAATAACATTCTGTCATTATATCGACATTGCTTATAGTGAGTAAAGAGTATATTCAGGTTTTAGTGGTTCAAACTAGATTTTAAACTATTCAATAAATTAA